AAAACAATAACTTTAAATTTATTTATGTTGACTTTCCAATCATCACAGTTTTTTTTAATGACATTGATTTTTTTTGCAGCCCCTTGTTGAAAGAAGCAATAAATCATCTGCATACAAAATACAATTAAAAAAACAGTCATTTATTATACCACTAAACGCGTAATATGCCCACCCAAATATTGCATACCCCACTTTCGGACGAGTGCCCCGCCCGGGAGTTCTCATGAATTGTAACAATCCAAAGACCCCATAAAGCTTACAGAGATCAGTGAGTGGTTTCCCCCCCCCCCGGGGGGGGGGCTACTTCCATAGAAGTGCAATACGGGTATGTGCCGCCCGACTGGGGTGTCATTTCACGTTATTTTGTTTAGAAGTGGGTAGCCATTTATCAATGGTTTGGTTTAGAAATGTGTAGCATTTATTTACTTTTTCACAGATTCTTATATTCAAAGCCAAATACTGGAAAGGCTGAATAAAATGCATTGCCTGGATGCCCTCACTGGTTGCAGAAGTTGTGAGCTGGGTGGGTTTTTTTCGCTGAAAACACTTGTGTTTAGAAGTGGGTATATAAATAGAAACAAGTGGTTTAGATGTGAGTATGGTTTTCGAGAGGTGGGCTTCACACCCTTACCCACTTAATGTGGAAGTACCCCCCCCCCCCCGGGGGGGGGGGTTTCCACAGATCATACAAGGAACGTGGAATAACATTTTAATATAAAAAAAAAAAAGATTTCTGTATTCCCCGTTAAAAGTGTGGTGTTGGACTGTTGAAATAAATGGCCAGTTGTCCGAAGAAAGTTTCACAGGTTCCAACAAATAATATTCGTAAGAACAATGACCATACAAACGTTATGAACTGTTGAACAGTTCACATACAGTAGCCGTCAGAAACGGCGACAGGTGCACTAGAAAACTTATATGATAATTTGAAGGCGCATTAGTACGACTATATTATTCACCTAAAATAATCAATGGTATTTACTAATACAGTTCGCACCTGATGTTTCAGACGTCATCGTACACCATTTTCAGCCAAAGTTCAGATCAGATCCTCATCTCGAAAATATTCACCGATGTTATGGCTCAGAGCTATTTTTAGCAAAACGCAGTGCAATATTCATAGTGCGGACATTCTTTGTGTCAGCTCTAGGAAAATAGTTTCATTATCATACGACTGATTCCCTAGAAAATATGTAAAACACTGTTTCTTAATATTAAATATTTCTATGTTAGACTTTGGAAGTGAAAATGTAAATAACACATTCTATCTTGACGAAATGGGTGCTATGAAAGGATTTAAAGATGCAGTCCAAAATGGCGACTACTCCGATGGTAACTACTCTCTCTTTTTCGCTGAAATTAATGCTATTATACTTATTAATAACTGATATATTTTTGACTGTTTTACTCTTATTCACATGGTCAATGTTTATTTTTTATTTTAGACGTCCGGTACGAGTCAGCAGCCAAACAAAACGTGGGGTAAGTGTTATGTTATTTGGGTGTAATGATTTCCAATAATGTTTTGTATTGATAATGAAGGTCAAATGGTATTATGTCGTGTTTATCTTTCATGAGTATATACAACCGATGCTGACTCTTATCCTTGATAATATGTTGAAGTGACATACTATTATTGCTTATAAAAGTAGTTAGAAGTAGTAATTTGGGAGAAACTCGTTTTATTGTTTTCATATATTATGCGACCTCAAGTTCCAATCTGCATATGGTCTGTACTTCAAGTACCCAAAAATGAATGAAGCTGAAATACGTTCTCGTAAATAAAAAAAAATTAAAACAAATGGTTTTTAAATAATGAATCTTTGAAACCTGGTATTTCTGTAGCTTATTGCCATTCATGTGTGATATAAACCAACCCCTGGGAATGACTCATAGAACTAGAGGGAAGGGTGCGTTCTGATTATAATATATGGAAGACCCATGTACCACTGTAAAACCATTTTTATTCACTGACATTTAATTTCACTATTTTGATGTTTTAAGCAATCTCACTTGTTTTTTAAGTTCATGAACTGACAGGGAAATAATGAGTTCTATTCTATTCTACAATTTCATGTGGATTTAACTACGAAGAATGTTCATCAAAATTAGTACATGCAACATGAATCCTGTGACTGATTTTGTCAATATAAATAGTCATCTAGTCAGAGCTAGTCGTCCACTACATAAAAATACATGAAATAAAAAATAATACAACATTGGTAGAATGACCACAGTGTTCTTTCCAGAAAAATGGCATAGAGTACCTTACTCTATAATGTCCTAGGGAGAACCCTGACTGTCATCATAGCTAATTTGTATGTAAATAAATAATTTTGAGCAATCTGCATACAATAAATTATTACTCATCCATAAAAAAAATGGGTAGTTGGGATTACCTGAATATATTTTAATTGGCTTAAAACAAAAAACAGTGTAAACTCAGTCTCCAAAATAGATTATTTTATAAAATGTAAGACATGATTGTTTAGATATGTAAATCTTACTGAGCTCAGAGACGAGGGTTTTCAGTAGTTGGTCCACCCATAATTTTTTGTGTGTCACCCACCTACTTAAATTTTTAAAGATCTTTTAAATAAGGAAAACAAGCAAACAAACAGGTTTGTATACATTAATTATATGCAAATCAAGCCATCTAGTAATGTAATCACACATCAAGGAAGCCACACAAATTACACAGTTGTATATGCAACATACATTTCACATATATACTCGTGAAATTAAGTATTTTATGAAACTATATTCTGAAAACTAACTATTTTCAGTTTGAATCATTGTCTCTTATGTTCTTTAAAAATAGACATGTTAAGGTTTTTGGAAGGTTACAGGATCGGACGAGGGGGGAGGATGTGACTTTTTTTCTCTTAGAATTTCTAAATAGACAGTAGTGTATTATGTGTTAGGGGTTAGGAGGATGACAGAATCTAGTCCGTTCCTGTAACCCCTTCAAAATTTCCCATGTATCATAAGTTCATTGCCATAGTAGCAGTATTTGCTTGGGAACATAGCAAAATGAATGTTACCTTACTAATTAGTATTGAAATTGTTATATTGTTTACATAGAACTCAGTTTGTATGAACTTCATCGCACGCCACAAGAGGCAATAACTGATGGAACAGAAATAGCAGTATCACCACGGAGTTTACACAGTGAACTGATGTGTCCAATATGTTTAGATATGTTAAAAAACACAATGACTACCAAGGAGTGTTTACATCGGTTTTGTCAAGAATGCATCACTACTGCATTAAGAAGTGGGTGAGTAAAAGTAATTTCTGATGATCGCTTCGCCAAAACGCATTCAGTGATTTGTTTATCTACATTCTATCCATACTGTTAAGCTGATGTGATGTTGAGCTATATCTTAGACATGCCTGGACCGATTACATTCAAACCGCACACATACATTATGCATAATATTATACATATGTACGTTAATTTTTTTCATGATTAGTCCTCCAAGTTTAATTTTTTATCAAGTGGCCATTGGCAATCAAGTTAAAATTTTTGGTGGCCAGCTGGAAAATTTAGTAGCAAGTATAAAATTGTAGGTTGCCAGAATTTATTATGTTTTACAAATACATAAACTACACAGAAACAACAATTGTGTTTAAATTTATGTGTATTTATTCAAGCATATGATACTAAATCATATAGTATCATAATGAAAGTAAACTGACAATCTCATGGCAATTCAATTACAATCAGGCCATCCGGTATATTGAATTCTTCTGGGTCTCAGGCCTGTTGCCATCAATCTTCTGGCCACCTCTGCTGGGTCAAAATCCGCAATGGATGGTCCATCTGATGATATCCTAATTAGATGTTCCAGGGTTTCTGCATTTATACATTCAATTTTCCTCCTATTTTAACTACGAAAATGTCCTTGCCCAATGAACTTTTTTATTACCGCTATCCAGGGTTCTCCATGGTTTGAAAATTAAACAGGGCGCGCCAATGTAAAGTGGGCGTGGCACATTTGTAACTTGCATCATTGGCATGGACGTTTAAAAAATGGAAACCAAAAAATCTATTAATCTACATATTATTTCATATGCATAATATATATTTATTTATTATTACAAAATTAATGAGAATTTTGAAGAACTATTATTAAGTAAATGTCAGCACGTACAGAGCTGATTTTAGCTGCACGATTCATCACGTGGCGACATCAGTTGTTTACCAGTAATGATCGCGTCAAGAAAAAGACGTAAAAGTTTGTTAATTTATTTTACCAAATAGATACATACATGCTTTATTTAATTTTTAGCAAAAATTGTAATTTATATTTATTTGGACGAGGCAAACTGAAATTTATGATGTCGCACAAACGTTTGTAATTGGTTCATTGATAAACTTGCATGAATGTGCGTCATCGGCACCAAAAAGAAAGATGATCAAATGAAATAAAGTCTACATAGTAGAAGATTTTCGATCTGCAGTTAACAGTTACTATCAAAAATAATAGAATTATGTATAAAAATAATACATACTTAGAAGAATAATTTTCATTCGTATCGAAAGTTTGTTGATGTCTGCTTCGTTAAAAACAGCAGTGACCCGGAAACAGTTCATTTTACTGCGTGCATCCTGATATTATGTAACGATGCCTTTGATTGGCCAAAGCCACGCATTGACGTGAAAAACAACCAATCAGAACATTTGTTTCAAGAAGAGCACAAGTAAATTTATTTCCTCCACTAATGATGCGAGTTGAAAGCATGTCCGTTTTTACCGGGGTTATTAAATAGTGATTTAAAGAAAATTCAACTTTAAATAGTGACATTCGTCAAAATATAAACATTTACATGTTTAAGCAAGCATTCGTGTGGACTTCTTGGTGATCAGCAATGTCTGTGATGGTACGTCGGCTGCGCTGGTCGTTTACCGATCATGCAAGAGCATGGCTGCCTTTGTTCCGCTCGGCGGTGACGATGTTGCTGCTACAAGTCACGGCGTGAACTTGGTTTTAACCATAGATCTTATGTTTTAACGAATGGTTTTACCGATAACGATTTTATATATTTGACTTCACCCTGGCAGTAAAAATATGGGTACGGTAATACACTTTTCTAGGCCACATGTTCATTTTTAATCGTGTTGAAAAAACTGCGCCACCAAGAGCTGACAAGCTGTATAGTCTGTTGTATATTACGGAGCAGTTTAGTCGCCGGCCATATTATTCTTAGTTCGCCAAATGGCGACCTGCATATTTTTTGAAACGCCATTCATTAAATTTAATCGCCATGGTGACCAAAATGGTCGCAATCTGGAGGGCTGATGATCTGATTCAAGATGGCCAAATGGTGGCCATTTTTGTGCTGAAAAATCATCAAAATCAAACATTTCTGGCATTCCCGAACCAGATCTCTGTCGATTATGGATGGATTTTGTTCACACTTAGTACATACATTGGAGATTATGGGACCTTGTTTTTCAGATCGAATTAAAAATGGCTGACTAGCGGCCATTTTGTTTTAATGAATGCGGTTCTACCGGTTGTGCAATATGTCTGCCACGCTTTGACTGATTATGTTCAAATTTTATATATTCATTATACATCACATTTTGTTTTAATTAATGCTGTCCTTGTTTAACTATCAGAAACAGGTGACTGAATGTCAATAATTTTAATGTTAAAAAATCATCATAATCAAGCATCAACTTCTAGATTTATATCTCTGACATGTTTATGTTCCAACTATATTACTATAAACAAAATTATATATCTTAAGTTTGATAACTAACGGGAACTGTGCCATGCATGGCATGTCATTTGAGTTAGCACCAACTTAGCATCCAGGATACTCAGTTCACAAAATCATATTTTTAGGGGGTGGGTGCTTAGCTAAAAATGTTTGTTCCACATTGGGACATTGTACAAATTTGTACACAAACGAAAATTCACACTATACTACACATAAATAATATCTGCAAATAAATTTGTACGCATTTGCAGCTTATGGTACCGTATAATCTCTTGATTAGACGTCACTCTAATTCGTTAGTACCTTCTATGCTCTAATTTAGACATCAGAGAAGTACGGAAATAGCAGTAAGGCACGAAATATTGAAAAATTACAGTCAATCAAAAAAAAATTGTTCAGATGATAACAAAAAAATACTTAAATATTTAATGTAATATGCATTTATTTCCTTAGTTTTGTTAGTAGCAAATGATCATGGTGACAGTATTGCAATCAGGTCGGTCATACTGCGTTTCACAAGTGAATAACTTACTTGTTAGTCCCCGTTCGGACGAAGTCCGAAAACGGGGACTTATAATTCGGTCTCCGTGTGTCCGTGCGTCCGTCCGGAGTCATATCTCAGAATCCCTTGGACCGATTCCATTCATTCTTTGCATGTGCCTAGTACTTTATGTGGGACATATGCACATGCAGTGGTTTAGCGATTCGATTCAAAATGACCGACTGGCAGCCATCTTGTTTTTTGAAAATGTTGTATTTTGGACATGCTTTGTCAGTTTTCATTCAAACTTGGTATATAGATATTACATGTTAGGATACATGTCCATGATGACTTATTTCACAATTGGATCAAAGATGGCCGACTGGCAGCCATCTTGTTTTTTGAAAATGTTGTATTATGGACATGCTTTGTCAGTTTTCATTCAAATTTAGTACATAGATCATACATGTTAGGATACATGTCCCCGACCGTCAGTGAGTTCCTGAGTCTGTCCGTCCGACTGTCCGTCCGACCGTGCGTCTGTCCGTCCGCCAGTCTATCCAACGTCATATTTCAGAAGCCTGTGGACCGATTCTGTTCAATTTTTGCATGTGTCTTGTACCTTATGTGGGACATATGCACATGCAGTGGTTTAGCGATTCGATTAAAAATGGCTGACTGGCAGCCATCTTGTTTTTTGAAAATGTTGTATTTTGGACATGCTTTGTCAGTTTTCATTCAAACCTGGTACATAGATTATACATGTTAGGATACATGTCCATGACGATTTTTTTCGCAATTGGATCAAAGATGGTCGACTGGCAGGCATCATGTTTTTTTGTTTTTTTTGCGGTATCTTGGACGTGCTCTGTCAGTTTCATTCAATTTGGCACATACATGTACTTTATACATGTTAGGATGCATGTCCATGACAATTTGTTTCAAAGAATGGCAGATTGACAGCCATCTGACTTTTTGGCCTTACTACTATATTTCCACAATTTATGGACCATTTTCATTCGTATTTGGCACATACATCATACATATCAGTGTGTTTCATAATCAGATCAAAGATGGCTGAATAACGGCTGTTTTTATTTTGGCCATATTACTATGACACGAAACACGTGTTTTGATGTAAATAAACAATCTGTTGTATACGCCATTTGGAACTCAAGTTTCAAGGAAGGACACGCTCGCGACAACCCCTCCGCTTTAATATGACGAGCACAAAGAGAACTTAACTGGGACTGTGTCATTTTCAATGACTTGTTTTCAAGTGTCAAAATTGATGACTATTACTCAGTAGTGATTACAATAACATATGAAATTGTTATGAAATGCACGTAAATTCAACTTAGTTTCACCGCAAGCGAAAGATTTTGGTCACATGTAAACGCTCGATCCGATATGATATCCGTCATGATATCCAAGCACATTCGTGACTTAAAACTGTTCTTAAAAGTCGCAAATTAACCAATCGGAACGCGGGATGGTGCCAATCTGTTGAAATTACCATAGCTCATTTAAATATGTTAATGACAGTTTAGTTGTAAAAGTTTGGTTTGCAGGGTTTTCTTGGGATCAAAATTTTTCAATTTCAACATGAAACAATGTCTCAAGTTAGGGGTGCGACTTCTATTAAAGTTGCGGCCTCAAATATGATTTTCACGGCAATTCATTTTAGAAAGGCCTCTTTTATCTGCATAGTCTTTTATTTTATAAAGTGTTTTCTACCTCAGTTACGACAAGTGTCGGCAGTGATTGCTATCACCGCGCCCACCCCTCTACCATGTTGACCTGAATTTAAGGGTCAAAATGTCTTTGGAAAAATGTAAGAAAGTTTGGGAAAAGGTCTGGAAAAGTCTTGGAAATCATTTGATTCTTGGTGCTATGGACCCTGCCAAAAATATAAATGCTTTAAAAGTGGAGGGTAGGGTGCTTAGTCGAGCATGAGAGCTATGTCAGATGAGTATGGTACTTTTGACTTTTCAATTAATTGTGGTGAGTGGTTATAATGCTCTAAAATTGTATTTTGTTTCAGCAACAAAGAATGCCCAACATGTCGAAAGAAGTTAGTGTCTCGTCGTTCTTTGAGACCAGATCCTAACTTTGATGCATTAATTTCTAAGATATATCCCAGTCGAGATGAATATGAAGCGCAGCAGGTATGTTTCTATGCACTTCTTCTTACAGAATTATGTAAAACACTTCTAACCTTTTCTTACAAATTTCACCAATTTTTGTAGCAGGGAAAACTTCACTGGTGTCTTGATTTATAGTACACATTTGATGATGATATTGGCAGGTGTTGATATGGTTTTGGCAGATGAAATAGACAAAATTATATTTTGAATGTTTTATTGACAGTATTGGCATTTGGGCTTGTGCACATGTTCACTGGGCATCATCCACTGATGTCACTACTTGGCACATCACTCTCTCCTTTACATATGATAATACAAAAATATCTGTTACGCTTGGATTATTTGGTCTTAAACTAAGATCATTATTTAATATTAAATGAAAAAAAAATATATATCTGTTATTGGCTTACAATAGTTATTGTAGTCATGGATACATATTAATTAATGAAAGGGAATTTATGTTGAATATTTGTTAATTAAATTGAAAATATTATTTTGAGGGTTTATACTACATGAATATCAATGCTTGCATTTCTTTGTTGAAAATATACCTGTGTCCATCATTTTTGTACCATATAGGAAAGGACTACATTATTAATAAAAAAAATGATATTAACCTTTGAAGAATTTGACATTTGAAAGTATTCATCAATATTTCATTCATTATATTTAATCAGTTTTATATTGAGAAAGTGCTGTCTTTTGTCTCTTAATCTAGGAAAAATTATTAGCCCGATTGAATCAGCACCATAACCAGCAGGCATTGCAGAACAGCATTGAAGAAGGACTCAAACTGCAAGCCATGAATAGAGCTCAAAGAGTGGTATGTGTCTTTCATCGTCATAGTAATCTCATCATATATTTTTGTTTTCATTTTCTCATGTATTAGAGTGTTCTGTCTTCAAGAATGAATCATTTTGCTTGTTCTCACTTCTAAACTTGAGCCCCCTCAATGTTGTTAGCTGTATCCGCTTTTAATTTAGCCATGTGCAAGAGAGTTAGGGTACCCTTGGTTGGTCTTTACTCTTTGTATTTTGTGATTTTTACAGTGTTCAGTACTGCATTTAGTTGTATTACACAAGTTTTGAAGTGGGCAAAGTTTGTGTCTATGAACACCAAAACTAGCCTCACTTGGTGATTTCATTGCTGCTGTGGCTTTGTATTTATTTCAAGGACTAGTGCATAGTTTACCATGACGCTTTGAATAGATATGTTGAATTCCAAAGTTTACAATATTATCTTCCAAAAGTATCTTCCATATGTATATATAATTTTGTGTAGTTTTGTTTTTACTTCATTTGATGGAATATTTAAAAGAGTCAATCTCTCTAAGTAATTTAGATGTGAATGCGACTTTGCGTTCAATTATTCATTAAACTGACACGCATATATTCAGTTCATATTAATTACGGTAACTCATTGTAGGTAACCATTTGTAACATTGTATTCCCCAGAGAAAACACCAATCAGAGGAACACATTGTAGGCAGTAATAATCACATTGATGAGCAGGAAGCCTCGCCATCACCACCACCTCCACCATTAGCACCCGTCACCGTAGATTGTGAGGAAGAAGATGTGGATATACAACATCATCATAAAAAACTTAAAACTACATCAGAAGAATCCGGACCAGAAGCTAATGACTCCGTTGGTGAAGGCTGTTCTGAAAATACCGAGACTCTTGTCAATGTGAGTAATATGTGATTGATCTTACTGATTCAGTATTGATTTTGTCAGATGAATGAGAGTGCATAAAAGGGTGACAAGCAGCCTAAAGTATGCTACATGGTTGGCCACCTGCTGCCTTTGTATACTACTGTATATAAAGTACAAGTGATTTTTTTGCTGTGCGCTTTCTTTAAGTTACCATAGACTTATGGAAACACTGTATCATAATAAATGCTCTAATAAAATAAAATAAATCATCTCTGTCATTTATGTAAGCTTATTTACTAATAATAAAGCAAATAATTTGTATTCTACTGAGGTGACGTAGTGTTATTTCAATATACCACTATTGTCTTCAACTTTTAAGCTCCAGAATCATCACTTTTACATCATTTTTCTTACGGCTTCCATGCACAGCATGACAACAGTGGCTCTTGAATATGGATGATGGATATGGATGGTGGGGTTAGGAAGGCCAACAAGACACATACAAGTGTTTATTTGTTCCACCATATGTGACAAGTGCATCATTTCTTGCTCTATAAGTAATATATTGTATATTTGCAGGAAATAGAGTTAGTTTTTAAACCACATCCGGAAGAAGAACCAGTTGACACCGCTACATCATCTCAAACAAGGTTCATTAAAACTACTGCCAATGCCACAGTGGATCATTTAGCCAAATATTTAGCAATGAGAATGGCTTTAGAAAATGGTAAGTACCATACTGTGGAATACTTTATTTTCGCTGGAATTAATTTTCACTGAAAAGGCTTTTTGGTCGTTTATTTGCTGGATTTTATTTTCACGGAATCATCCTTTCAGCGAAAATAGCGAAAATAAAGTATTCTACAGTATTTAAATTTGTATATACAAATGTATTTTTTACTTCATATTATTGTGTTGGTACATAATCATAGTATGTAATTATTTGGGTTGAAATGTTACACAACTGTCATATTTTATGTTACCTGTTTTAACAAAGTATACATTGTAATAGAGGTAAATTTATGACATCAGTGATACACCATGGGTTATTGTTATGCCTGTATAACCACACCATATGCCATACTTAATACTAATATGATATGCTTTCCATTTGAAATCAGTGTTGTTATTAGTTCTTTTTGTTTGATTGATATTTAGATGCCATAAACGGAGCAGGTTCTAATCCCCATG